TTGAGCAAGAGGTCTTCCTTCGTCATTGGGGAGAACAATGTGGTGGACGCTATCCTAGCTTTGGATCCCAGCATTTACTTCTGCACCATCAATGGACAAATTATCAACAACTTTCATCAAGTGTGCCGGAAGCTTCCTAGCGATACGACGTTCCAGCTACACTTTCGCTTACTCGGAGGAAAAGGAGGTATGCTACAGTCTTTTATCCTTCTTCGACCTTTCAACATAGACTTAATTGTCGAGAGTTTTATGTTATTTTTAGTGTTTAGAGTTTATTTTCCAGTTCAAATAAGGCATGATAACCATGATTTCAGTCGACTGTAGAATTTACCACGCGGTTCTTATCTAAGAAGATGTCTCTCATTTGATTTTTAGGCTTCGGATCACTTCTGCGCTCGTTTCGTGTGAATAAAAGTACCAATCAGCTGATGTGTCGTGACCTCAATGGTCGTCGTCTAGCTTCCATCGATGAAGAGCAGAAGTTGAAGAAATGGATTGAAAGAGCTGCAGAGCGTGAAAAGGAGAAAATAGCGAAGAGGTATGAAAGTATGTATAGATTTTTTGCTTCCTGGTGATCTATTCCTGTCCTCAGGAATGCGAAGTATGAAAAGCTCAAGTCTGGCCCGCCTAAACACATGTTCAATGATCCCGATTATATTCGCCAAAAGGAAACTATCATAGAAAAAACCGAGGAAGCCTTTGAACAAGGTAATTTATTTGCATGAAATTGTATTTACGTGTCAATCTGTTTTTTGAGTTTTTCATTGCATAGTTCATCATATACAAGTTTGCCTTTTTTTTCCCAAAGTTTGATTTTCCATCCCAGCCATTCAGTATAATTTTTCCTTACAGGTTTTGTTGAGTTTTTGAAAGAAGAGCAGGAGAAGAAGAACAAACCCGTCGTTGAGTCTTCTTCGGATTCGGATTTTGATATTGACGATTTGCCCGGTAGTTTGAGGAATGGTAGGAAAAGGAAGGCAGCGAAACCAACACCTGCAGTCTCGGAGAAACTGGCTAAATTGTATGTCATATCATGGTGTTTGTATTTCTATTCAAATAGTTTTGCATTTCAGAGAAGAAGATGATGATTCTGATTCCGATTCTGAAGAAAATGACGTTGATCCTGAGTTGTTGAATGAAATAAGAGAATATTTTTCTGCCCGGGATTCTAAGCTTGGCGCAGATGCTAACCAGCCTTGCAGCTCCAAGACAGATGCGGTATGTGTAGGCTATTCGTAGCACACAAAGACTGAGGACATGTCGGCGTCTCA